AAACCATCAAATTTTTTCTAAAAGGAAAGTGTCAAATGAACAAGAAACATGTCTGCTTTAAGTTGAGGGCAGAAGTAGAATTTATTAAAAAAACTAACTTTAGCAAAAATAATCCTAAACAACACTACCCTCGGTAAATTAAAAAGTGGAGGTCGCCATTTTGACAACGAAATCACGATACCCGGTTTTCGGCACTTCCCGGATCATACTGAGGTCCCTATTGTTTAGATACTTCGATGAAACAAGGGAGACTACTATTTTTTTTGTATCGGAAATGGGCGTCGGCGCCGAAAAATCCGAGTTTTTAATTTTCCGATGTGTGTGTCTATTTATTATTAAATTAGTTCTTTCCACATATATTTGAGTTCCGTTTCCGGCCTTATAATTTGGAAGACATCTTGGCCTACATTTCTAGCCAGCTATTTTGCTTTTTTCAATCGACCTTTATTTTGAAAATCTTTGGTATATATAAGGCATCTTCGCATACAAAATTTTTTGTGAAATAATAAGATAAGGTCCTTTTTGATTAAATCTGTATGAGCATTAGATATTGATCTATATCTGTGCCAAGTTTCATTGATGTAGGTCGTGTCTCACGTTTGTTACACTTGTCACAGTGACCCATATCACCATAAGGTGGCTCAGCCTAATTTCGACATGGCGTGGGCCACGCCCCCTTTTTAATGGCGGAAGTTGCCGATACTTAGGAAATATTTAATTATTACCACTATATACATCAAAATATTTTATATTTTGTGTTTCAGAATGCATTTTGAAGACATTTAAACTGGAAATGTTTTAATTTGAGCTTTAAAAACCCTGCAGAGTCCATATTATAAATGATCAGAATTTTCCCTGTGCAACACGTTGTCATTGGCAACCATTCACAGCCACTTGCATAACGGCTACGTCGTAGTACTATCTCAGAGTTTCATTCATAAGAGTTTGCCGTGTGCAAAAGCTATTAAACCATTGGTCAGGGAAAGCTTTTATTAATTATTCATGTGCCAAAGTTGAAAATTTAAAATAAGTCGACCCTAAACAGTATTTTAGTGATAGGGAATGCGTTGCCTTATATAAACTATATAGTCATAGCGCATGACGCGATCAGTGGAATGAGGTCACAGAATGTGGAGATGAAGTCCATGTTAAAAAATGACAAACCAAGTCGTACTTTAAAAATTCATAACTTGAAAACTACAACAGCTAAAAATATGATTTTGGTGTTATAATTCTGTTTAAAATTAGCTCTATTCAACTGTGCCATTGGTTTATTTTTTAAAAATGTTTACATTTTTGACCAAAGTATCTACATTGTTAGTATCACTGGCTTTGGCATCAAATCATTAATTGATAATTTACGGGGACGACTGCCACTATTTTATTGAATTTCACAAATGTATCCCTAAATCGATCCCTATGCCTAACCTGAACCCTAAATCGATCCCTATGCCTAACCTGAACCCTAAATCGATCCCTCAACCTAACCTAAACCTTAATTCACTGGTAAACACACACAAAAGACGCAGTGGCAGCAGTCCTCGTATTTAGCCCATTAATTGTATGACAGTGTGTAGGCATAAATAATGATGTGCTAGGAATGTAAAAATAGGACGTGGTGAAAAATAGTGTTGAATTTTTTATTTTTTTTTAAATACAAAAACTTGTATTTGTTGAACAACCGACCGAACTTGACTGCCAGCCGGCAATATTAAAAACCAGAAACAATTCCTTCAATATGAATAGGAAACAGCGAAATTCGGTATACCCGAAATTCTTTTCAAAATTTATAATAAAATTTCTTAACAGATTCCGAATAGCCAAAGTTGATTACCAAACGGCTACATTGTATCTTACAATTGCAATAACAGCCGATTTACAGACAACTAAGGCCGCCATTTTGTATACAGGAAGTGGCTCATTTTATTTTTGTTTTTAAAGTAAAAAATATCTTTATTATATTTAGTGCAAATTTCTTCTTTTTTTTAAATTTAAAAAAAACGTTTTAAAAATGTTAAAATATTCTGCATTAAATAGCTTTTCTTTTTGAAAATTCATATGCATATGTCAAAGATCCACTCAGCAATTCATATTGCGTCGACTTATGACTTATGTTTTTTAATTATTGGGTCTAGACTCGAGAGTGTAGGCGTAGGCCCTATTCAAATTATAACTTCGGAAAGAAAGTTTTAAGCTATAATCAAATTGTAAAACGCTTTGTGATTTAGCCTCCTTCAATGTTCTTTCTTTTTTTTTTTTAATTATTAATATCTTGGCCAAGTCAAGTTCTTAGAGCTTAATTTTTATTTTTCGAAGCGCTATGGGTGGGGGGGGGGGG